GGATCCATGGGCATTCTCAGGCTAGTGACTGTGAGGGGTGGACACAGGACTTCCCATAAGCAAAACAGCTCGGGGCGGGGGGGGGGGGTGGTGTTGGGTCATTGGTATTTGGATGCCAAAGTGCAGCGCTGTCACTGGGCGGAGGCCTTGGGGACCCCCAGGTTGAAGCGTCAAAGATGCTCACCCTAACGAGTGATGCTCACCCTAACGAGTAGTGCTCCCCTTTGACATTTCCCTGTAGAAAAGGACAGGCTCAAAGCGTCAAGGACTGGCTTTCTGAGGAAAACACCAGCAGGCAGCCCCTCTGAGGGAGGCTTTGCCTGCAAGCCGAGGAAGCATCGAAACTGGTTTGTAAACCTAGGCTGAGGTGGCAGGGGGTAGGATTTTGTGTGTAAGACATTCTCAGAGGTGCTGACAACAAGCTGTGGATCCTGGGAAGGATCTCTGTGACAGGATCCACTGTCACAGAGGAGGCTTGCCTGTCTATCCTCTCCCTCCAGCTACTGTCACGGAGGTGGCTTGCTTGTTCCCCTCTCCAGCCACTGTCATGGAGAGTGCTCACTTGTCCATCCGCCCCCCTCCCCACTCCAGCCACTGTCACATCATGGAGGGGCTTGCCTGTCCCGGTAGGAGGGGTCCCTGGCAACCCGTAACAGAGACAGTGACAAACCATTGTCTCCGCTAACGAGTGTCTCCTCACCACACGTGCCATACCGGCTCCCTCCACAGTCCCTGCTGCGTGCCAAACTCACCTGAGCCAGCTCCAAGCTGCTGAGGTGGCCACTGCCATCGGTATCCAAGTCCTTAAATAGCGACTCCACCAAGAGGCGCTTCTGGGAGGCGAGGTTCTGCCTGTTGGTTCCTTGTTGAAGGGGCTGTCTGCGGCTCTGGAGCGCCAGAAGGACGTTTTTGAGACGAGCGTAGCCAGCCATGGTGCACATGTCTCCTGAAAGAGAAGAAGGGGTTGTTACGTCAAATGTACCCTGCGGTCTTGAGACAGTGCTCAGCCCATCCATACATTCATCCATCTCATTCGTCAGCAGCTGCTGGGCATTTCCAGTGTTCAGTAACAGTGCCACTGTCAAGGAGGGGGCTCACTTGTCCATCCACCCCCTCCAGCCATTGTCACGGAGGGGGTTTGCTTGTTCATCCCCCCCTCCTCCAGCCACTGTCCTGTCATGGAGGGGGCTTGCCTATCCATCTGCCCCCTCCAGCCACTGTCACAGATGGGGCTCACCTGTCCATCCGCCCCCTCCACCCACTGTCACAGAGGAGGCTTGCCTGTCTATCCTCTCCCTCCAGCTACTGTCACTGAGGTGGCTTGCTTGTTCCCCTCTCCAGCCACTGTCATGGAGGGTGCTCACTTGTCCATCCGCCCTCCTCCCCACTCCAGCCACTGTCACATCACGGAGGGGGCTTGCCTGTGCATCTGCCCACCCATTCAGCCTACTGATATTTAGAGAGTTGCCTATATGAGTCAGGCAGAATGGGGGACATTCTTCCAGTGGAATCTGCAACTGTTGTCCCACAGTGCGAGGAAAACCAGCCCCCATTTCATTCTGTCACAGTTCGCCTTTTGTCTTAATCCTATCTTAAAAGCTGCTTTTGAATCCTTGGCCTCATAGATTAGGGCATTTTAGTTAACAGGGCTAATAATCCCTGCTTTAGGTAATTAGGTATACTTCCAGAGCTGGGTTACTCGGAAACAAACGTGTGTACACAAGTCCATGACCAAGAAACAAAAGGAGGCTTTAGGAGATTAAACCAGCGCGCACAGCCTATTACTCTTAGGCCTTTTATCAGGGGCATGCTTGCTGAATGCACAGCATTGCACGGTGCTTTGGCAAATGAGGTCTGTGATGCGCTGTGACATGACATAGTTTATCTTGCTGGTGACAGGGCCACCATACAGGGCACAGTCAGTAAATGTGGGCTGCAGGGATGCCACAGAGCTGTGATCCTCCAGCCCTGCTTCCTACTTCCCCTGGGGACAACAAACACTTCCTGAGCCTGGCCTTGTTGAATGCGGGGGGTGGGGAGGTGGGGTGCTGGTGTGGGCTCCCTGCTCTCCATTCTGAGATCAGTGGGTGCTGGGTGTGAACTACCTGGGGTCTGGGCTTCTTCCCTTGAATTCTAACACCAGTTGAAGTTGCCAGGTTAACCTCTCAGGACCAGACAGCGAACAGGCTTGAGTTTGGGGACCACTGGGTCTGTGAGTCCCAGCCCTGCTGCTTCCGGGTTGTGTAACCTGGGGTAAGGGACCTCAGTGATTTTATCTGAGAAATGGGACAATAATGCACCCCACGTGGGGACATTATGAAGGTTAATTAACATAGTCACATGTATCTTTACTTTGAGCCAGTGCTCAGTGATTGGCAGCTGCCCTCCCACTTTTAGGTGTTGGCACCACGATGGGGAGAACACAGACTCACAGAAGCTCCTCAGTGGGAAAGGGGGAGCAGCCACTGCTCTCTCCTGCCCTCCTTCTCTCATTGGAGAAGCCCCGGTGGCTGAAACACTTTTTCTTGCACTTGTTTGTCTTTCTAGATTTTTCTTCCAATTTGGGGTCAATTGATTCTCATCAGAAACAAATGCCTGTTACTATTTCCCTTGTGTGTTTATTTGTGTTTATTTAGAAAAAAAATCAATTGCTGTGTTCAATATAATCAATCTATTTGCTCCCTGGGAGTCACCACGCTCTGACACAAGGGCTGTCTCCCATCCCCAGAGCTGCTCACACCCCTTCCAGAGAGTCCCTGGTACCCATAGACATACCCCATTTTGAAACCTACATGGCTGCGGAGTGCTGCACATGGCCTCCATGACCTGGTCTCATGACAAAGCCAATATAACTGGGAAGAACGTGTCTGGTGACGAGATTTTTCTTCTCAAAAAACTGTTTTAGGGAAAGAGTAGGGTGGTCTAGTCCATTAGGCCTTTCCAAAGAGGGTGAACTCTGGGCTGGCAAACGGAGCAGACATAAGGGAATGGAGTTGTTTAGCTGTTGGGGTGGGAGCTGGCAGAAGGGTCCACGTGGAGGGTGTGCATACACTGGAGGGACTGTCAGGTTTCCCTGGGGACAGGCACCTGCATCAGATGCTGGGAAGCAGATGTCTACAGTGACTGGAATGGTGTCAATAGACTCCCTCAGACCTGCTAGCCAGAGCCGGGCATCCCGAGAACCTGTGAGAGCAGGGCCACCTGGAGGCTAGAGCCGGTAGGTAGGATGGGTAGTGAGGTCTTGGATTGCTGGTCTCCCAACCTTCTCAGGATTTCATGGAGCTGCCTGCTGCCCTGTACCAAGGGTTTATTGCTAGACAACCTCCACCATGGGCAGCTGGGGAGACCATGACGTGGAGCTGGGGGCTGTAGTAATATCTCAAGCTTTGCTCTTCTACCAAATCCTATATTCTTCAGACTGGGAATGCACTTCATTTTTGGAGTGCTTGCCTTGCATGCAAGAAGCCTTGGGTTCAGTTCTTAGCACTGCTTAAAACTAGGAGGAGTGGTACACGCCTGTTACCCTGGACTCCCGAGGTGGACGCAAGAGGATGAGAAGGCCATTCCTAGCTACATGGCAAGTTTGAGGCCAGCTTGGGTTATCTGAGACCCCGTCTCAAATACAGTTTTTCTGAGGACCCAGAGGCTTCTGTTGTGTGTCTAGAAGTCAAGCTGGGGGCCCAGCTGAGCGTCATGAGTCTCCAGGGTCATGTCCCATGCTGATCAGGCCCTTTTGCTCCCAGCTGTGTAGCGGTTTGTATTGACATTCTGTGTGTGCACGCTAGGGCTTTAAGAGTGTCATAAGGAGTAGATCAGTTAAGGGGAGGGGGAGGGAAGGTGTGCAGGCCTGGCCCTGTGGGGTGAGGACTGTGTGTGATATGGAAAGAGGCAGAGGGAACAACATGGTGTGCAGTGCACATTCAGACACCTGGAGACCAGTGGAGCTAGAGAGCTAAAGAACTGTGGACAACATCAAGGCAGAAGAGGGTGGTTGGTCCATCTCAGAAGGACGGAGAGGCCATAAGCTGGTGTGGGAGCCAGACACAGAAACCCCATGTTTCTAACTCCTGTCCTTTCTTTCCTTCCCGGAGGATTGCCCTTGTCCGACTTCTGCAGTGCTGGGTATCGAACCCAGGGTCCTGTGAACACTAGGCAAGTATTCTACGACTGAGTTACACTGCGGCCTCTGGCAGGGAGTCTTTGATCTCTCTTCATTCCCGCAGCAGCCATGTTTCAAATGAGTGGCATGGAGAACTCCGCCTAAACTCAAATCATTAAGTCACTTGCCTAGAGTCACTGAACTAGCTCTTCTAGTCCTGTTCCCTCACCCCACACATTGGGAAGATCTGAGGACGCAGCAGAGAAAGCCATCCAGGTGTAGGGATTTATGTACCTACCAGTGGAACCAATAACTTTAAGAGTCTGTGGTCTACCCTCTCCTCCTGGGGATACTCTTGATTGCTTCTCCTACGAACACGCCTTCCTGGGGACTCCATTCCACGCTATCTTCAAGTTTTTGGATTCAGTCTCAGGGTGAGCGTTCCTCCCTGACACAGGCTTGACCCCAGGATGCCTGTCTTCCCAGGAGGGTTCCCTGAGTCCTAGGTTCAGTGTCCACTTCGTGCTACCCCCTTTAGACAGCAGTGACCCAGCTCCATGGGAGACGGCGCTCGTTTGCATCTACCAGACCTGTCCACCTGAGGCTCCAAGTCCTGTTTCCAGAATTTGGAAACCATTCAGGTGGAGAGAGAAGCAACTCCGTGAAGTTGTCCCGACTTCCACGTGATCAAAGAACAACACACCAGGTGAAGAGATAAGCAGATATCCACGTGGATGAGCAAATAAAATCAAGCCAGGAGTGGTAATCACATCACCCAGGGGTCCGAGCACCACAGGCACGAGGCCAGTCTGGGTTATACGGTTTCTGGCCAGTCAGGAAAAGAGAGAGAGACCCTACTCAAAATGTAAAACAAACAAAAAAGAACCCAGAACAAGATGAGTCATATCATCATCTATGTTCATTTAGTATGCAACTGATGGCAGCATGGTTGGTTGGAGGCTAAGCTAGCCTCTGCCTAGGGTTCTAGGAAGGGAGAACATGTGACATCCTTGGCACAGAGCAGGGTCCAGCGTTAGTCTTCAACACTCTTGACTTGAAGGGGAAGGTTGCTGAAAGGTGTATGGCTTGGGTACTTACTACACACCCCTCTCCAGTCCATTTCCAAGGCTTCTTGGGCCAGCCTGGGGCAAGAGAGATTCAAAACATAAATGTTACAGGCTGCTGAACTGGGCCTGTGTGACGCTTCATCTTCACTGTCAAATGGACAGAATTCAGGATCACTTAGGAGAGACACTTCTGAGGATGTATGTGAGGGAGTTTCCAAAGAGGCAGAGCTCTGAAGGTGGGTGGCATATCCCATGGGCTGGGACTTAAACAAAAAGGAAAAAGAGGAAGCCAACTGAGCACCAGCATCCATGTCTCTCTGCAATGTGAATGCAAAGTGACTGGGACCTCATGCTCCTGTCCCTGTGCCTTCCCCACCATGACAAGCTGCACCTTCAAACTGTGAGCCCAAATCAATTTGCCCTTAAGTCAGTTTTGTCTTGTCAATGAGAAAAGTAGCTAATACAACCAACACCGATATCTCTAATGAGCACTGCCTAAGGGAGCCTGAGGACCACCTAGGCTTGATGGGGTAGGGAGCCCAAGGCGCCGTAACATCTTATAGCATCATGACATAAGAGAAACCATGGAAGGACTTTGCTAACAAATGGGGCCATCCAGGCCTGAGCTATCCTTTTGGTGGCACTGGCAGGTTGACCCCAGTGAGGAGAGATGCCGCTCGTTCATTTTTGTCTCACTCACTGAGATAGCTGACAGCTAACCCTATAATATAGTCCCAAGGAATGAGGAAGCCATCTTGGATTGTTCACCCCCTTTCTCTACCCAGGGCCGTTTCTACTCTGGGACCTCTCCAAGCCTGACGGGCTGTCAGAAGGCACCCACGCCACTTTCTGGCTGGCCTAGGGTCCCACACACAGCAGAGGTTGTCCAGCTTGTCCCAGGATCCTCTTGCATCTAGACCAGGCTTTCTTTGACAGATAAAATATTGATCAGTGTACTGAGGAGCCCAGAGTGTGTTCCTATTTTTCTGTCAGAACTTGGTAATGAACTGCATTTATCAAGCCCGTTCTCCATGAGAAAGGTCAGTTGCAGATCTGGCTAAGCTGTCATGACACCTCATTAATCTGGCTCCCTCAGTAATTGTCCCTCTTTGGAGATTCCAAAGTGTTCCCATTCTGGCCTTGCTCCCTCCATGTCGAGGGAGATGATCACAGCAGGAGCACAGACTTAGCTGCACTTCATATTTTGAGCCGAGGGAACTAGGACGCAGGAGTTGCCTCCAGAGCTAAGTGCCCATCAAAGGGACACCTGCTATTCCAAAACAAAGGGATGCAGGGGTGGAACTGGGACTATTCCATCAGCCACTTGGCCTCTGCCAGACTGTGCCTCCAAAGGAATTGTCTTCGGTCTCTGGCAAGTGAAGCTCCATTCTTGGCTGTGGGCGGGGTTGGAGGACTCCAGAGGGACAAGGGGAGGGCAAAATGAGTGACACAGACAGGCAGCGAGAAGCCCACGCTCTGAGAGTGCGTGCGTGTGCATGCGTGCGTGTCTTGCTGCTTCCTCCTTCCTCACTGAGGCTGTTTCCCCCCAGGTCTTTAGTGAGCCCTCTCCCGCCTCCTTCTCCACTTCCTCCTCCTCACCCTCCCACCAGTCCTTACCCACTCCGCTAAGTTCCCTGCTGGCCTGGTTTGCATGTGCGAGCCCAGCCCCTGGCCTGTCTCCTGAACCTGGAGGTTAGGGCTTAAACAGCTGTTAATAACGCTGCCACCTCCACAGAGAAGGGAGACAGAGGGGCTTGGGTAGTGTCATAATGCTGGGGGAAGGGTGGACACCTGAAGGTGATGGCACTGATCCTCTATCATGCCAGCTCCCTGAGTGTAATGTAGGTGCAGGGAGATAGCTCCTGAGTGTGGGCATGTGGCTTTGCTCATGGACACTCAAGGTTTCTTGGGATGGCCAGGGTCTATGGGTCTTACCTTACCCAGGGGACGCTCCTAAGCCTGCACAACTGGCCCTACAGGATGAACTCCAGCATGGCCATCCTGGGAGTGGGGGCAGGGTGGCCAATTATAGGGAGCTTGAACACTAGATTATATAGAAGGGTTTCTTCTGGTGGGTACAAGGTGGCTCCCTGAAAAGTGACTGGGAGAGGAAGCAGAAGAAAATTTCTTCTCTCTTCTCTCCAGTGTGGCCATGGGTAGAACGTTCAGGAAGGCCCGAGGGTGCATGCAGCTATGAATAGTGTTAGGAAAGGCCCCTTCCCTTACCTGGACTCTGCCCAGTAAATGTACAGAAAAGTGGCCCAGAGGGTCTCTGGGCCTGGGCAGAGCACTGTACCCAGGCAGGACGTGAGGGTGCAGTGGCTTTGGGAAACCCCAAGGTTGCTATAAAGACCCCAGGCCTGATGCTGGAGCTGGACACAGTTGTCTGCCTTGAGGTCACTGGTCAGCCCTGGACTCAGGCAACCTCTACCACTGTCCTGCAGAGAGGACCAGGACTCAGGCCGCCCAGCGTCATCCCTTGGTAGCTTTGCTTTCAGGGACCTGCGTGAGGAGCGACTCGTAGGCTGAAAGCGAATCGCCCTTCCGTAGATCTGAACACTTGGTTCCTGGTTGTTGGCATTCTCTGGAAAGCTGTGGACCCTTTAGGAGATGGTGCCTCAGAGGAGGGTGTGGGCCTTGGGGTTTATGGCCAACTTCCTGTCTACTCCCTGCTTCTGACCGGGGGATACTAGGTAATGGGATACCTTCTGTTCTTGCTGAGATGGGCTGTACCCTCAAACTGTGACCAAAATCAACTCTTTTCTCCCTCAGGTCACTTCCTGTCAGGTCTTTTGTTATAGAAGGGAGAAATATATGTAACATGGAGGAGGAGGGTAGAGGGAAGGCCTGGGTTAGGGACTATGGGCTCTGCTCAAGGAGTCACTGGGGGTTCATATAGACCACTGCTTCAATACCCACACAGGGGTCACATGCACTGGAATACAGCTGCCTTTGGTCAGGCAGGGTGGCCCGGCTCCTTCCAGGCTGTAACTAGACTTTAGAGCCTTAGAACCACACCTGGCAACACCCCCAGAGGGCTTGAGGGACAGCACGGGACTCCATCCTTCTGTCTACCCTTCGGTTTGCTCACAGGCAGTCTCCTCTCCCCTCCGAAATAGCTGTCCTGCCTCCCCCATCCCCTGACTGTCACATTTTGCCCTGACAATTCTGTGATTTTTACCACCAAAGCAGAAATTTCATGTAAGCGTCTGGCGCCCACATTCCCACCCAAGTGGTTGTGTTATCTATCCCGGCCTCGGTCGCCATGTGTCATTCTGAGGTCTATTTTGAAACCGCTAAGCTGTGCAAAGAGCAAGACGCATTTTGCTCCCAGATCTAATTCACGAGGCACCGAGGCTGTGCTGGAATTCAGCTTAAGAGGAACAGATGTTTCACTTGATGTAAATTCATGCACATTAACAATCTTTCAGCTGCCATTTCTGGGAAAATTCAATTAACAATAAATGCCACAACCAATGGGCTTATCTTTTTGGATACGTTTTCGCTAACGTGATACAGTTCCTCAGATGGTGTTGACAGAGCCACAAAATCCTAAGAATTCCCGAGAACAGTGAAGCACACAAGACACGGGCCGCCTTACAGTCCCCAAACCTAATGAGACTGATGTTCCCAAAGCCATGCCACCTGGTGACCCAAAGCCGGGTCTTGGGACTGCTAAGTGGACCAGGTACTATGACCTCTATTCAAGCATACTATGGACTTGTCTATGCTTGTCCGTGGCCTCACCTGAAGCCACTTACATCCCCAGCTTCCTTTTATAATCTGCGCTCAGTCCTAGTGCCTGTGGAAGGGATTCAAACTGACGCCCCCCCCCGCCCCGCCCCCAAGAGAGCCTGGAAGGAACACCCAAAGGGATTAAGTGAGAAAGGGAATCCAGGCTACACCAGAGTGTAGGTGCCTTGCTCTAGGGGGTGGGGAGAGGGAGGAAGAAGAGGGAGAGGGGAGATGGAAGGAGGGAGGGGGAGGGAGGAAGAGAGGGAGGGAGAGAGAGAATGAAACATATCTTCTAATGTCAGGCTCTCTTCTATTCATCAGGCATGTGCTAGCCCAGCCCTCCACCTAGGAGTAGGGACAGGAGAGCAAGGCCACAGGATGGAGTTTGTCTTGTATCGTGGCTCTGCCGGCTGTCACAGTCACGACTAGATTTGTAGCTGAAAGTCTTGGTTTTTGCAAAGGTCACCTGCTGGCATTTGGCCAGGCCATATCTTGGGCCAGGTGTTTGGCAGGCTGGCATCCTGGTCGCTAAGGAGAACTAAATGGTTGAATGGTAGCATCTTCTTAGATGTCACAGGGATCTCGGATGCAGCCTCTCATCTCAGTGGGAGTGGGATCAGGCTGGGAAGCTGTCCCTGCCTAGTCTACACCTGGTCGTTCCCTGAGGTCTCTCTCCATTTGTCATTTCTGTCTATGGTGAACTTTCTAGGTTGAACGTGCAAAGTCTGTTTGGGGACCACAAAGAGAATCTGCATATCTAGGGCTTTGCATGACCTACAGTGCATAATACACATACACACACACACACACACATGCACACACACACATGCATGCACACTCATGTGCCCGCATGTGCATGAACAAATCTCACACTTGAATTCCCAAATTCATTGGACTTGGACTAGTCACACCCACACCCACACCTCATGTGGACAAAACATTTCAAGCCTCACCCCAGAACCTGGCGAGTTAAATGATCCAGAGCTACGAAGACCTTTGTTAGGTAAGTGCTACACTGGCGCACAAATGCGGGGTTCAGTTGGTGTTGCCACACAATCTGCTACTTGACATTTACAACCCTCACTTTTATTCCTATTAAAGAAAGCAAAATTGGCTAGATTCCTGGGAGAGGGATCACTGACGCTTTTTATGGCTGACTGGAACATCCATCAGGTGGCCCCAGAGTGAAGGAATAATGTTTGGGAATTTGTATAAACGCTAAAGCCCTCTTGGCATTAAGAACTTCACCTTTTACTGTTGTGTTAGTTGAGCCCCCACCTCCGCCATCCACCCACCCTAAGAAATCAGTTTCCTTTGGGATGTGGGCACTAGCTCTTCACAGACTCAGGGAGTGGCTTGTCTCAGTGGTCTTTCTAGAAGCCCAGCCGCTGGCCACTCCCAGCCTCACCCCTCACCTGCACTTGGAAGCAGCAGGTGAACTGGGCTCAGGGAACAGCTGGATGGGGAAGTTGGAGGGAGTGAATGAGGTGAGAAGCAAGACTGACCTCCCTCCCCCCACACTGGACATCTAGCCAGGGAAAGAGTATGGCTGTTGGGGTGGGAATATCTTGACTCCCCTAGGTGTCAACCATAGCGAAAATGCTCTTTCTCGACACTTAAAGCTGCCATCGTCATCAAGTATCGACCAGATTGACGGATAGAGTACATACATCCCTGGAAGCAGCCAAGGCTGGGGCTGTCTCTCCCTCAGGTAGTGGATGAGACAAGAGCTACCAGGCTCAAGGGTCGGGTTCAGTTTCAGCAGCCAGGAAGAGCAGGAGCACTTAATTCTCATGTGAGTTGAAGGGCGCGTCAGGAGGGCGTGCACTGTTCTTATCAAGAGTTCCTGGAAGACAGCACACAGCTCTGTGTGTGTGTGTGTTTGTGCATGCTTTCTATTGTCCCAATGATGTGGAGGAAGACTTCACGACGTGTAGTGACCAGGGTCATGGCAGCTTCATCCCGCTCAACCAGCCTTTGGTGGCCAGCCAGGAGTTTCATTTGAGTTTTTGAAGACCCTAGTCATGGAAGTAAAAGACTGGCCATGTGAGAAGATGGAGCAGGCCAGAGTGCCAGATGGTGCCTCACTGCCTGGCACTGCCTGGCACTGCCTGAGGGATTATCTCAGGCTTTCTTGCTTACACACAGCAATTGTCAGCCTCTCAGTTGAGCCAAAAAGCCACTAGATTGTAAGGACTGTGGGCAGAGCCTCCTCTTTGTGGTGTGAGGGGCATGTATTGATGCCAGGGAGGAGCTACGCTCAAAACACAAACTCTCTGGGCATTTTGCTGGTAGGAGCTCCACGGAGCTGGGAAAGCTGGCTCCCGATGGTCTGTAGAGGCCAGTCTTGCCCTAGCCTGAGCTCCCAGAAAACAGCATTTCAGAGAGCAAGCTGAACAGGTTTAGACTTGACAGGATTTGGGGATTTCCTGGGGTTTCGAGCTTGCTCTTTACTTCCCTGTGTTCGGAGATTGATAGTAAATCCCAGGTCAAAACCAAACAAAGCTGCCGGGAACTCTGAGCCCGATCAGAAGGACTATAGGTAGAATCCGGGTATACGTGAAGTACTGGGGCTATAGGAGAGAAGCCAGCTTCAGGTTTGGCATCCAGGAGCAGGGACTGGACATGTGCAGTGAGTGGTCTGTGAGGGAAGTAGGCAGGGTAGATGGGAGAGGACCCTGGATGCTCTCCTCTGAGTTCCCACAAAGCCATTCTCCCCAACCAGCTGAGTTATTCTGGTCACATCTCAGTCCGGCTGGCTGCATGGTGTTTGTGGTGTGCCCTCTGAAACGCCACGGACGAGGAAGCGGGATGGGAGTCTGAGGGTAGGCCGGCTCTTGCTACATTCCCGCACCAAGAAATCCCTTTGGCCCTCTCTGCCTTCCATATTCATAAGTTCTCCAAGCCCCAGAACGGCCTCCTAGCTGCCTTAGGCCAGCATGGAAATGGATTCAGATGCTTTGAAAGGGCTCAGGGTTCAAGGAGACGGTGGAAGCGAGAGGGCTGAGCCTGAATTCCCCGAGGAAGTAGGAACACACCTGGAAGTGTGCCAGGACCTGGAGCGGTGGGAGCAGCGGCGTGCAGCCCGAGGCCCTTCGTGCCTCAGAGCCTAAGCGAGTACCCTGCCTACCTGTGCCCTGTGTATGTAGTGCAGCCTCCGTGTACCACGGACACACACCTGTTGCCTCAGGACAGGCGTGTTTACATTCTTTGGGGTCAGACTTTGATAATGTAGTTAGACAAAAATATCTCACAAAGTTTTGATGTAGAAATACACTTTGCTGCTCCCCTACCTCCGTGTGTGTGTGTGTGTGTGTGTGTGTACACACACCTGCATGTCAGGGATTTCTCAGAAATCCCATCTGATAATGCTAACGGCTCCTACATCAAGAGCCAGCTGTGAAAAAGCCAATCACTTTCTGACCTTGAGTTTTGCTTCCCTCATCAACAGTGCTCTAAGGAGAATAATGTCCTTCCTGGTGGGACTTTCAGGAGGAAAGTGTGGCCCACAACCTAAGGGTCAGTGCAGAGAGAACAATGGGGACACCTCGCACTCATAGGGTTTGATTTACCCCCCTGCTGGCAGTGGGAGGCATCGCCCCCTCTATCTCTGCTTCCCATACACAGAGCTGTGGATTTGGGCTTGCATTCCAGAGACAATGGCCCTATGCCAGCAGCTTAGCCGCAGCCCCGTCCCCCTCCTGGCTTGCCTGTTAGCCAGTCCACCATGGCTTCCAGGCCATAGAACACAAGAGCACGAAAAGGTTTTGGAATGATGCAGCTAACTCCTTATTTGCCGATTGGGGAAGAGACCCAGAATAGACAGAGGCCCAGTCTAAGGGTCAAGGTCCCGGGTGACAGAAAGACAACACGGCCTGGCACACTCTTGGGGGCATTTTCTTCCCAGTGACACCTTCCTTCTGCTCTAATTTCGGCCATCCAGCTCTTGCACAGACCCCTCCAGATGTGAGAATGAAGCCGGGGACAGGGATGGGATGCTGGAATGTGAGAGAGGAGGGGGCTCCACAGCCCAAGGAAGCTGTAAGAATCCTGGGCATGCCCGAGGCTTCTTACTGGCAAGTCTTATCTTCACGAACACACTGGGACGTGCTGCCATTTCTTGTCAGATCCTTGGCTTAGAGATTCGGGAGTCTGGATTTAGCCTTATGCAGTGCCCAGGAAACCAGAGTCCACAAGGATGGGGCTGCCAATCTTTTAATTGAGAGAAATGACCTGTAGCCAATTCCCTTTGAGGAAACAGAGCCACATTCATGGAGGGCATTTCCATAGGAAGCAGACACTGACCTGTGGGCTACCAGAGAACAGGCAGACCTCAGCTTAAGCTAAGAGATGCTGGTGCACCATGCCTGACCCCTGAAAAGTCAGGTTTCGAGGAATTCCTAGCTATTGCTTAGGGCTGAGAGTATACAGGATGGCTCTATTTTCACCCTGCTATCTCTTTCAATTCAAAATTTCTTCTTCCTCTGCGTACAGGGCCTAGAAATAGTCCAACTTCTAAGGAGATAGTGCAACTGAGCCTATTTAATTCCTACGTGGCTGCTGACATCGCTTCCAGCACAGGCCAAACCACAGCGGCCAGTTGTCAGGAACACTTACTGGATCAGTTTTTCTTTCCTGGACCATTCGCCCTCTCTCTTCTTCCCTATGTCTTCCTGGGCACTACTTTCCTTGTTACTAGGATAAAATATGCGGTCAAAGGCAGCTTACGGCGGAAGGGCTTATTTTGGTTCACAGTTCGAGAGCAGAGCCCGCCCTGGAGGGAACGTCTAACGGCAGGACCTTGAGATGGCTGGTCACATTGCATTCAGCCAGGAAGGGGAGAGACGGGTGCTGGTGCACAGGCCTCTTTCTTCTTTTTATTAAATCTTAGATCCTAGTCCATGGGATGGTGCCACCTAAATTCAGGGAGAGTCTTCTCCCTTCAGTTAGCTGAATCTATTGTTCTGCATGGACATGCCCAGAGGCTAAGAACCTAAGCTAGGTGCCTCCCCCACCCCCTGCACACAGGAGGCTAGCCTCCTGGACAATGCTGGATCCTGCCAGGTTGAAAGTCCACGCTCACCATCACATCCCCGAACACACACTGTTGGTCTCTGCCCTTTTTGATTTGTGCCTCCCTCTCTTTCAAAAGCCTACTGGGCAGTAGCTGTACTCGGGTAGAGCCTTGAACATCCTCTGTCCTAGGGCACTCCGGGGTGCTGGTAAGACTGTCCCCTGGCCTGGGTGCTGCTGGTTGCACAGATGTGTTCTATGGGGAAAGCCCATGAGCTTGATGTTTGTGGCGCTTTCTCTGTGTGTTGGATGTTAGTAATTGCTGTAGTTAACAGGCAGCCTGGGAGCTGGCAAGATTGTTCAGCACTTGTTATGTAAGGGTGAGGCCCAGAGTTCAGATCTCCAGAAACTCATAGAAATGCTAGCTGGGTATACAGCAGTCTGCCTGTCATTCTAGCCTTGGCTGGCAGAGATAGGGGATCCCGGGAGCAAGCTGGCTAGGAAGATTAACCTTATCAGTGAGCTCTGGGTTTGACTGAGAGACCTTGCCTTAATGAGTAATGTAGATGAGTGATTGACAGTGACCCCTGATGTCCACAGTGGTCCTCGGCATGCATGTGTACACAGGCACATGTGTCCACACAATTGCAAAACGTGCACACATAAAAAGAAAAAAGTCACCTATTGTTTCTCAACAACTGAGAGACACTAATTGCAAACCTCAACCAATCCCAAGCTTGGGGACATGGGAAGGTGGAGACCAGGGTTCCCACAGGTGGTCAAAGACAGGGAAATACCATGCCCTTGGCTTATTGGCCTACAATACTCTGCCTTTCGTCAACAAGACATCCAGAGCTGAGCATGCCTTTCGATAGAAACAGGGTTGCCCATCCCCCCCATCACAATCATTTGTTGAGTCTTCTGGACCCGAGACTGCACCTGAAAGACTGCATGTGAAAGCAGGGGTTTGCTGAGTACCAAAAGAGGAAGGATGCTGGAGCCTAGGAGTCGGGGATCCCATTGGACATCCTGGCCTCACTCTCACCCTCTGCTCCTGAGAGAGCATGAGGGACGAGATCCAGGAACCAGGACGGTTTTCTCTGCCCCCAGACCACCAAGGATTGAAATGAAGACCTGGGCACAGCTGCGGCTCTCACCACTACAGCTCTATTTCTACAGGACACAGAAATAGATATTAAAGACTTCCTGTCCAGAAGGAACTAACATGGGTCCCTGATATCTTCATCGCGTGCACAAGTCATACCTGATTTGGCACTAAGCTGGGCATGGACTTTGCTTAGTCAGCTCCTCCACCTGAAATGGCTCCTGTGACCATAGAGTCCTGACTTGTGTTTCTTGGACAAATCGTGTTTCCTTTACTTCTACAGTGTCTTCCCTGACCAGCTTCTGCTTTCTGGAACAATCAAGTTCCAGGTAGCACAGTTCACTGACCAGTGTTATTAGGTTTCTTTTGGCTGTGGAGGGTAACACCCACCCGCAGATGGGGCCTCACGAACCACCTGCAGGACCCTCTAAGACTGTCTGGAGTTGTTACACCTACCGTACCCGCAAGTGCTGTCTGGCACCTGTGCTGACAGACCAATTAACCCTAGGCACCCCCCTTTCTGCTTGCTTACACAGAGGGAGTAGAGCAAAGTGCACTCCACCCCAGGAGATAATTTATAACCATGCTGAACATTTGGCTTGACAGGCATCCGTGACCTGGAAGCCACCCTGTGCTGAGAATTCATAAGCATGTGAATTACTGTCTGGGCTTCTGGATTTAACTTTAGATTTCAAGTTGAACACTAAAGTGTTCTGAATGGAATAGCAGTCCCCCTTCATGTTAAGGCCCCATAAGACACACCTGGTTGTCCTCAGTCAGCCTTAGAGGACCCACTACTCCCCACATGTAGCGCCACTTCCTCTGTAGAGTACACGGAAGGGATGGCATCATGGACTTCATTACCAGCCAAGGCAGGGCTAGGAGACTGATTAGAGAAGTCATGCCTAGACTTGTAACGAAGGCCCCACATCCCATTCCTCCCTCTTGGTCACCTACTTGCCTTCTTCCTACCTAGCCAGTCCAATGACACCTTGTCCTAGGACTCCAGCAATCCTGACCCTCAGAGCCTTGCCCGTCCCTCAGGCTAGCTATGTTCTTCATCCACTCCGGCATTTTCTGACTCCTTATCCTGTACCGTTCTCCCGTGAGTCCCTCTTGGCATCTAATGGTGGGTGGGAAGAAATGCCAGTGGGTTCAGCCACACTGTATATCCTCCAGGGCACAGCTGTTTCTGTACAGACCCATGGGATGTGATGGGGGTCATACAGAGAGACAACAGATAGTATGTGTTCAAGACACATGGCCTCTGATAGGATGGGTGATTTGAGCAATCCATTAGCACCCCCCTGCTTTGGGGGGAAGAGAGCCATGGGCACCAGTAGCTTCTGGGCACATGTCTGCTTTCAGGGAGTCTGTAGGTGTGTTAGGGTTTTACTGCTGTGCAGAGACACCATGACCACGGCAACTCTTATAAAGGAAAACATTTAACTGGGGCTGCCTTACATAGTTTTATAGGTTCAATCCATTATGGTCATGGTGGGAAGCATGGTGGCATGCAGGCAGGCAGGCATGGTGCTGGAGAGGGAGCTGAGAGTTCTATATCTGGATCCGCAAGCATCAGGAAGAGACAGTGAGACATTCTTCTTACTCCAACAAGGCCACACCTACTAATAGTGTCACCCTCTATGGGCCTATGGGGGCCAGTTACATTCAAACTACCACAGTGAGGTAGAGGCTATAAGTCCCACACTGCTTGACTTGGGTAAATAATCTGGGTAACTGTAGCCCACAGCTTGCTCTTGTACGTGGTTAAAACCAGGTCTCAGTTCTAGGGTGAAGAGGTTAACCAGGAAGGGGAACCATAGCTGCGTTCTAGAAGGTTCCATGTATCTGTGGTCCAAATGATAAGGCTAAGGAAGTGGCCTTTTCAATTGCCATCAGACATTCAGGCTCTTCTGCCACTAACCCATTCATGGACATATCTGGGTCCTGCGCAATGAGGGGAGACTAAGAGGAATGTGTCCTTTGTGAGTCTCTGGGGGTGTATAAGCATAAGACGAGAGTCCAAGATGCCCTCAAGGAATGGACCCGCATCCACTTCTCAGGATTATATCAACCCCACCAAACGGCCACAATTACAGCTTTTAAATGGCTCCATGAAGCTAATGGACCCCAGGAAACAGTGGAAGACTAAAAGAAATGAGAGACTCGGCTGGCTTGAAAACTTCAGACGAGAACACTGGCGAGAATTCCATTTCAGATGCCACCCATTTCTTTCAAGAGATTCTTTGCCCAGCTCATGCCTCTGAGTCCCCAGTTCGACAGAACACAGTAGCTACCACAGCTAAAAGTTCCTGCTCATAGCCTTCTCTAAGCCGTCATTGATCCCAGCCCCTTCCCAAGCAAGGACAGGGACAGAGAAATGGTGACAGTCCCAGCAGGATAGCCTGGGACACCCAGGGGGTGAGCCTGGAGACTCAGAATCCTTCCTCTCATCTTCCCCCTTGTGTGCTTATAGTCTGGAGCTTGAGGACAATTTTCTTAGACTTCAAAATCAAAACCCAAGGGCAAGCAAGCTGAAGATATTGACAGCTGCCTGCAAGAGAAATACGGGGAAGAGAAAGAGAGAGAGGGCCATGCTGGCTAAGTCAGCATGGCTTGGTGGTCAACCATGTGTTGGACAAATAGCCGTAAAAGGTTTGGGGCTCTTTAGAGAAAAAACAAGGATCCCAACTAACTAGAAAAAGCACATTTAGATTCTGGTCAGCATCCAAAAGAAAGAGAAAGGAGAAGAGAAAGGTCAACTTCTACCTCTCTGAATCAGGATTGAGAGATGTGGGTGGACCCAACCAAACCTTATGCTGGTTCTGGAGAGTGTGCAGGGCATGGAGATCCTGGGAAGGGAAAGTACATTATCTCATCAAAGGAATAATGAATGATTCCTCCCATCTCTTTGGCATGACTTAAATCCACCTTCTGGAGGGGCAGTCTAGGGCCAAGTGGGCCAAGTTGTTGACAGGATTAACTCTTGTTTTAGGTACCTTGGAACAGCCTCTATCCAATAGCAGACGTAGCTTACATTATCTAGACCAGAAGGAAAAAAATTACCTTAACAGCTCTCCAATATCTCTATAGCATCCCAACTATGAAGAGGTAACCCCTAAAATAATTCAGGAGTCAGTTTGAAATTGCAGAGGGGATATGAAAGTCCAGAGTTTCCCGAACATTCGCGTACAGGCCAAGGCACAGCAGAACAAAACCAGCCTGCTCATCAGAAGCCCAGGCTGCCATCCCCATCTCCCCTGAGCTATATGATTACCCTGTGGCCAGGTTGTGGGGGGTCAGTGTCCCAGGAGGGTGAGGACAACGAAGAAGTACTCTGCATTCCACTAAGTCAGCTTCCCAGCTCTCTGGAAGTGGAGGGGAAAGTGCAGGACTGTGGAAGTTTCTAAAAGCCTTGTCAGAGGAAGCACGCCCCTAGGGCTTGATTCCAGGGAGTTCACTGGGCCAACAAATGTCTCTCTTCCTGGTGGCACTGTGTACAGAGAACAGCACAGAGTGACTACCAGGGGGACATAAGTCACCCCGCTGCAAAGCAGTCACTTTAATACTCTGCAGCCGCATTATAAACCCATTCTCTGCACACCCACTAATAAATGCCTCTGCCCCGTATCCCATTTCCTGGTATCTCTAAAGACACCAGGGGGAGGCCAGGGAGTCATGAAAGGCACATAAAAATGCAGTTGTGGATGGGCTCAAAACCCATTTCTTTAAAGCCTAATTGATGGGAAAAGCTTCTGGCCCCAGAGAACTTAAAGGCTCGTCGTGTGGATATTTGATTAAGTGTCCCATATCACAGACCACACGCTACCAGGAATCATTATCTAGTAATTGCAAATACATTAATAAAATGATGATGTGGGTTTGCTCGGGACATTAAAAAAGGAATAAAATAACTCACTCAAATAACTCCACAGCAATGTGTAGTGTGCCCCAAGACAGGAGGGAGCCTCTAAGATAGTGAGAAGCTGGGGTTATCTGATTCTGTGTCTAGCTCTTTGTACGTAGTGTCTGGCTCACGTCTCCACTGCTCTTGCTGAGGATGGAGGTGTAGCCAGGCTTCAGAACCACTGTCCAACCCAGGTGTGTGGTACCAGAGGCCTCCAAGGTCACTTGCTGCCCCACGGCCTGGGACTAGCAGCCTCCCGCGCTTTTTGGCACACATCCCAGAGGTGGCTAGTCTCCCAGGGCCATGCACGTATATGTCTTCAGCTAGCATCTCTCCTAACTAAGCAGTAAGTGGGTAATAGAAATCTGTACAGAGACTTGAACGTACCTGCGTGAGCTTTCCAAGGTCTAGCTCAAGGCTAAGATCACTGTCCTTAGCTGGGAGCAGGCTTCCTGCTGGATGACTGAGCAAGCACTCAGGAGCCACCACACAGCTACACAGACACAATACCTAGACCCCCTCAGGTGCCTTCCCTTTTGTGATCTGTAGTCCCTCTCCAGTCCCCTTTGAGAGTGTGAAGATCAGGGAGGGGAGGGATGTGGGGAGGCCCACGGAGATTCTCTATGCTTGTGTGTAAAGGGAACACACTCAGCTATCAACACCTTTGTGCAAGTTTCAGGTCCTTTCCCTTTCCTCAACCCTCTCCTGCCCCAGCCTCCAGTGCTCTGTGTCTGGCTTGACCATATCCCATCTGTTGGTGATGGTTTTACTCTTTTTTACTCTTTTGTCTGTTTTGGGGGGTCCACCACCCAGCTCCCAAATAAATCATACGTGGAGTCTTATTCTTTCTTATAAATGCCCAGCCTTAACTTGGTTTGTTTCTAGCCAGCTTTTCTTATCTTAAATTATCCTGTTCTACCTTTTGCCTCTGGGCTTTTACCTTTCTCTATTTCTGTATACTTTTCTTTCCTCCTTTCTCCGTGGCTTGCTGTGTGACTGTGTGGTCGGCCCCTGATGTCCTCCTCTCCTTGATCTATTTTGTTCCTTCTTTTTTTCCTCCCAGATTTCTCCTTCTATTTATTCTCTCTGCCTGCCAGCCCCGCCTATCCTTGCTCCAGCCTCACTATTGGCTGTCCAGTTCTTTATTAGACCAATCGGTGTTTTCAACAGGCAAAGTAACGCAGCTTCACAGAGTTAAATAAATGCAGCATAAAGAATGCAGCACATCTTTGCATCATTAAAACAAATGCAACACATCTTCAGTAATACTCTACAACACCCATCCATCCTTCTAGGCCCATCTGGATCTACCACTCATAAGCTGTGTGATTTCTGGTTACTCAGTCTCTCTGAACTTGAGTGCATCCATAAAGCAAGAAAAAAAAAATCACAAGTCTTTGCCGTGTTGACTGACACGTCCCTAGTGTCCTCAGCCAACCCTGATCCTGTCAGGACCCCAAGCCCCGCTCCACATTTATTGCCTGCTGCTACTTGTATTACCAGACAGACCCACCACCTCTTCTGGCTTTGTTGCCAGATACCCGTCTTCCTTGAAACCTCCCTTGGAAACTGAGATACTTCGCTGATGGTTTTGAAAGATTGGTAGTATTCACACAGAGGGGGCTGCGCAGGAGTCCCCAAGAATCCAGAGGAAATTAGGGTCAGACAGGGAAGAGAGTTCTGGAGCTGTTCATCTGTGGCACACCACTCGGAGTGGCGAGCTTGGGATGGGAAAGAAACTACCCTAGAGAGTCCACATGGGCGTGGGGAGAGGACTGTAGATCATGGTGAGGGGTGGAACCCAGATGGTGACAGCTCTGGGCTGGATAAGGGTGAGAATAGAGCAAGTCTGGAATCAAAATGGACAGATTAAGCCTGCCTCTGCCAAAGCGGGAGGAGCAGAAGTCCTGTGTATCTATGCATATGCGGCATCTTCATGCCGTGCTCACTCAGTGAGGAGGCAAACACCGTTTGTAACCCTAAACACGGGGCCCAGTGTCTCCATGTCTGCAGAGCAGTGGGGCCCATTGAGGGTATCAGGCCAAGGATGCTACAGGCAAGTGTGGAGAGCAGGGGCCTCCGTGTCTTATAAGGCACACAAGCATATGTACACACACACACACACACACACACACACACACACACACACGAGAAATGCCAGTCTTGCAGAGAAGACAAATTCAGCCTGAGTAGGCCGGTGGGGGGCTCTGTGGCAAAGAGGGCATTTTGGCTGGTTTATTCTGGAGGCTTGGGTCCCAGGCAAGCTGGCATAGGTCTGGATCCACAGACCTCTAACTTCCTCGACCTGTGCTTGACCAGGCTCCTAGAGACAGACAGACACTTGGCTGATTCAGGTCCTGCTAAGTGAGAAACTCCCCTGGGGATGGTGACACATTTTCAAAGAAAAAAAAAAAAAAGCCGTGAAAGCCAATCTCCACACTGGAAGTAGGTAATTGTGAGTGATGAGATGTTCTCCCTCTGCAGACAGAACGGGAGAGAAAGGAAGGCCTGGAGCCCACAGCCAGGCGGAGTCTCACGTCATCTTACATAGCGGTTCACGAGGTGTGACTGTAGGAAGAGCCCCCAGGCATGTGGCAGACAGTTCAATACAG